GCAGCCACAACAACAACAGCAGCCACAACAAACAGCAGTAGTCACAACAACAGCAGCTACAACAGCAGCCACAACAAATAGCAACAGCCACAACAACACCAGCAGCCACAACAAACAGCCACAACAACACCAGCAGCCACAACAAACAGCCACAACAACAACAGCAGTCACAACAAACAGCAGCAGTCACAACAACAGCAGCAGCTACAACAGCAGCCACAACAAATAGCAACAGCCACAACAACACCAGCAGACACAACAAACAGCAACAGCCACAACAAACAACATCAGCTACAACAGCAGCCACAACAACAGCAGCCACAACAACAGCAGCAGCTACACCAGCAGCAACAACAATAGCAGCAACAACAACAGCAGCTACAACAGCAGCCACAACAATAGCAGCAGACTCAACAAACAGCAACAGCCGCAACAAACAACATCAGCTACAACAGCAGCCACAACAACAGCAGCAACAACAACAATAGCAGCAGCAACAACAACAGATGCTACATCAGCCACAACCAACAACAGTAGCCATAACCACAGCAGCAGCTACTACAGCAGACACAACAACAGCAGCAGCTACAACAAACATCGATAGCATCAACAACAGCACTTACAACAACAGCAGCTACATCAGCCACAACAGCAGTAATAGCAGCAGCAAGGTCAATACAAGTAATAGCAGCAGCTACAGCAAACATCAATAGCATCAACAACAGCACTTACAACAGCAGCAGCTACAGCAGCAGTAATAGCAGCAGCAAGGACAATACAAGTAATAGCCGCAGCTAGGACACAGCAGCAGCTACAACAGCAGCAGTAATGATGATGATGATGGCAGAAATCGCAGTAGCAGTAGGAGCGGTAGAGCATTGCAACTGCGAGATGATGATGATGATGAGTGTTGTGATGATGGTGATGATAACGACGATGGGTGGTGATGGTGGTTGTAGTGTCAATGATGATGTTGATAACGATGATAATTGCTGTCATGGCAATGATGATGGGTGGTGGAAGTGTCAGTGGTGATGGTGATTGATGATCATTGGTGGCGGTGGTTTGTGGTGTTAGTGGCAAGAATGACGTGAGATGTTGCGGTGATGAGGATGGTGGTGGTGGTGGTGATGATGATGATGATGATCGTGGTTGTGATGATAATAATGGTGATGATGATGATGGTGATAACGATGGTGGTTGTGATTTTCCTGCTCATAATTATGATGATGATTTTGATAGTTGTGATGCTAAAGATGCTGATGAAGATGGCTGTGACAACGATGGTGGTGGTGATGCTCGTAGTTGTGATGCTATTGCTCATGGTGATTGCAGATGGAGATTCTGGTTGCGATCATAATAATTCTGTTTCCGCTGCCGATGTTGCTGAGTGTAATGATGCTACTGCTGATGAAGATTGTTGATTAAGATGCTGGTTGTGACAATGATGCTGATGATTGGTGATTATGCTACAGCTGCTTGTGATGGTGGTGGTGGTGGTGGTTATGATTCTGGCAATGCTGCTGCTGATGGCGAAAATTATGTTATTGGTTGTGATGTTGCTGCTGATGGTGATGACAGTCATGATGATGATGATGCTTTGCAATAGTAATACGGTTTGCTGCTGCTGCTCATGATGATGGCAGTGATGATGATGATGATATTGGCGGAAGAGATGTTTGTGCTGCTGCTACTGCTGATTATATATTTTTAAAACACAATTGCTGAACACGGGCCCAAAACCCAAAACGTCAAAGGGCCAGCGACAAACATCACTCGTATCAAACTTTGCAATAGACACGATTGTGTAACACATTTATTGAATTGAGCCAGGTTATTATTGTAAGAGCTTTGGGGAAAAGAGACGATGGTAATGGGAGCAGGGAATTCAAAAGTGGAGCGGCGCGAGGGTAGAAGCAGAGAGTTAAGAGTTGTGATCTGCAGCGTGGGTGATTGATGATGAGTATGCTGGTGGTTATGATGACGATGAATCTGACGCTGCTACTGCTGATGATTCTGTTGAACACGATGGTGGATATGATGCTGGCGATGTTACTACCGGCAATGATAACGACGAAGACCACAAAGGTGGAGGTGCTGGTGATAATCACGTTCGTGGTAGGGACATTCATGCAACTGACGCTGCTGCTGCTGCTCATGATGATTCTTATGGTGATGATGATGGTGGTGCTTGTGTTGCTGATGATATCGGTGGTAGAGTTGCTGCTGCTGCTGAAAATGATGATACTGCTGTCTGATGATGATGATGATGATACTGCTGTCTGATGATGATACTGCTGATGATGATACTGCTGTCTGATGATTATGATGTCTGATGATGATGATGATGATACTGCTGATGATGATACTTCTGCCTGATGATGATGATGATACTGCTGTCTGATGATGATGATGTCTGCTGCTGATGATGATGATGATACTGCTGCCTGATGATGATGATATTGCTGTCTGATGATGATGATGATGGCTGCTGTCTGATGATGCTGATGATGATACTGCTGTCTGATGATGATGATGATACTGCTCTTAATGGTGATGGTTCTTATTGGTGGTGCTAATTATGTTAGTGATAAAAGCTGCTTATAATGCTGCTGCTACTGCTGCCATTGATGCTCGTGGTTGGGATGGGGGTGCTGCGGCTGATGATGATGATGCTGGTGGTTATGATGCTGATGCTGATGACGCTTTTAAGGATCATAATGAGTCACGCATCGTCAATCACAGCACGCGCCGATGTGCACAATGCAGGGATAGCGTTCGATCAGATTCCTAACGTAATGGTTCATCTCTATTGATTATCGCAACCGTAATGAATTGCGCAAAATCAACATTCTCATGCCAAGCCATTAAACTGTGCACGCGCGCGTGCCGTATTCATCTTCGGTAAAGCCGCAACGAGCGGGCCGAGAGGCAGCAGTGCATGACATGTACGCGCAGTGGTGCACACAGCGCGTCTTTTGCTGGACCAGCAGCATCATCATCATCATCGTGAGCAGAAGCACGTTCATCAGCAACGGAAACATCGTCCATAAGCAGCAGCAGTAGCATAGCTGCCGTCATCAGCAACAACATCAGCAGCAGCAGCAGTGGTATCAGCAGAAGCACCGTCATCAACAGTTTCAGCATTAGTAGAAGCAGGAGCAGCATCAAAGGCAGCAACCTGCATCAGCATCGTCAGCAGCAGCAGCAGTTGGATCAGCAGTGGTTCGTTCATCATCAGCAGCAAGATATCAGTTGCAATAGCACCATCGCCGTATTCATCAGCAGCAGCTGCTGCAGCATCATTATTAATCGCAATGACATGAATGCAATCATCATCCGTTGCAGCAGCAATAACTGCAGTAGCAGCGTCAACAGAAAAACATCCGCTACAATTAATCATCAGCAGCAGCAGTAGCAGCATCATCAGTACAACCATCGCAGTTAGTGTCATCAGTAGCAGCAGTGGAATCAGCGGGTATCATCACCATCAGCAGCAGTATCAGCAGCAACGCTTTCGCCACTGACACCATCATCATCAACACCACCATACTAATCAGTGTCACTGTAATCACCAGCATCATCAGCAGCAGAATCAGCAGCATCATTATCATAAGCAACAACGTACGTACCACCACTATCATCATCAGCAGGACTATCATCATCAGCAGGACCATCATCATCATAATCATCATCAGCAGTATCAACACCAACAGAAGCATCACTGATATCACCATCAGCAGGGCCAGCAGCATCACAAGAATCATAACAATCAGCATGATCTTCGACCAGCATCATAACCACCAGGACAATCATCATCATCAGAAGCGGCATCCCCAGCAACATAAAAAACAGTATCAGCAGTAGTAGCAGCAGCAGCATCACCAGCATCATAACTACCAGCACAATCACGATCAGCAGCAGCATCATAACCACCAGCACAATCACGATCAGCAGCAGCAGCATCACCAGCATCATAACCACCAGCACAATCACGATCAGCAGCAGCATCATAACCACCAGCACAATCACGATCAGTAGCAGCATCATAACCACCAGCACAATCACGATCAGCAGCAGCATCATAACCACCAGCACAATCACGATCAGCAGCAGCATTTTATATCGGTGTCCTAAGGTTAGGTGTCCATGACTGATGATGATGTATGCGTAAACAGCACGTGTGTATATAAAGTATGTGGAATTGTATATAACGCATGTCCACATCATACCACGTATAGACACACACACACATACATCACAGTAGCCCGAGTACTATGCAGTACTACGCAGCGTTTGGCATGTGCGTTGGCACGGTAAGTGATAGACACAAACAGTAGACTCAAAACTCAACACATTACTCAATAACACTGTGGACTTAAAAGGAAAACAGTATACAATTGGCGACGTTTCAGGCATTGGCCCTGCTTCACATCACATACAATGGGCTGCAGCAGCAGTGTCATCGCAACGTGCTATGCAGAAGGGCTTTTGCCTGAAACGTCGCCTGTTATATATGTTTTCCTTTTAAAGGCAGCAGCAGTATCCACGTGTACATATGTGCATGTACATGCATGTGCGTACACGTATGGAGGTGTGTACATGTGTATGTTTATACATGTGTGTGTACAGGTGCATATATACTTATGCATGTGTATACATGTGCATGTATTACATTCGCGTGTGTATACATGCATACACGTGCAGCCCCGATTAGCACGGTTGGCTACGTACGGTGCGAACGAAGTTCAACATACACACATATGTATGCGCATGCATGTGTATACGCGTGCACGTATACATATGTATGCATATCTGTGCAGCGCGCATGCATGTGTGCATACACGTGCACGTGCGCATATACGAGTGCATGCGTGTATGTATGTGCACGCATGTTTGTGTATGCATATGCACACACATGTGCGTACACGTACATGTGTGTGTATACACCTGCATGCAATGTACGCGTTACCACGTACAGGAGAGCGTTAAATCCTCACCTGCATCTCGTGCGGTGCAGTCGACAACTGCTCTGTCTCTCTCCACCACTGATCGAAGCCGTCCTCCGCGCGCGAACAGGAACGTATAAATACAACGCACGCGCGCACGTACTCACACACGCACCCTCTCACTACACTCACGCACACACACAACCCCCCTGACGCTATATATATATAGCCACGCCACCCCGCCCGGTAACAATAACGCGCCAGCCAGCATCTGTCGCGTGCGCCCCGTCTTGTGCACGCACGCCACACACGCGCGTGCGTCTTCTGCGTTATACCGCAGCTGCAGTTGCTCTGCTCCGTATTGCGGCTGCTGCTGCTGCTGCTTGCTGCTGATGATGATGTTGATGGTGGTGGTGGTGGTGGCTGGCTGGATGCTGATGATGATGATGATGTGTTACTATTGCTGCTGCTGCTGGTGGTGGCTTTGTGATGGTGGTGGTGAGGGGGGGGGGGGAGCTCAGTTCCTCGCTGGTTTGACGTTGCTAATAAATAAATAAACTATCGCGCAAATTACATTTCAAATGAGCAGCCCCTCCTGTCTATTGCCGTCGGCCCGGGGAGTGCAGCCGTATGGCGTGCGGTATTGCGCGGTGCGGGGGTTGATGATGGTGCTGGTGATGATGATGGTGGTGGTGGTGGTTCTGGTGGAGTGCTGGTGCTGGTGGTGCTGGTGGTGCTGGTGGACTATGGGAACTAGGGGGGGGGGGGGATTGCTCGTATAAATGCACTCCTCCCCTTCTCCACCCCCCCCCCCCCCCATTCCCAATCCCCATCGTATCATTCCACCCCGCCTCCCACTCCCTCCAATCTCGAGTCCTCCTCCCTCCCTTTGATGCTTTTCTCGTCGTGGCAGCCCACCGGCGTCTCTCATTGTTTCTCTTCAGCGCGGGGGTCGGGCTAAACACGAGCACGCGGCCCATTCATTCATTACAAGTGTCTGCCCTCCGCCCCCTTCTGAGTGATATTGTACTCTACTTCTACTGCACCCCCTACCCCCCCCCCCCCGTTACCCCCTTCTCTCGCCTCCCTTAACGTGTACCCAAGAAATGTGTGCGCGTGTTAGCGAACTCCGAGCCAGTCCTGGGCCTCCCCTAGATCGACTCAGCCTCAAATAAGTACCTGGTGCGACGTGTAAATATCGCCACTTGGGAGACAAAGGCGGCCGGGCGTGGTATATGCCACCTACCCCCTCGTGTACCGTGCGGGCCTTCATAGGTGCTCGCTAACAGCACTTGCCCCAAAAGTCTCTTAAGACTATACGGGTGGGGGGGGGGTCTTTGTCCGTGTGGTGCCGTATGAAGGGTGGGTGTGGTGCCGTGTCTGGGTATTTGTGCGATGTGGTGGGGTCTGTGCGTGGGTGTGGGGTGTATGTGCGGCGAGGTGTGTGGCTGTACGGGTGTGTGTGGTGAGGAGTGTTCGTGGGCGCGTGGTTACAGTGCACAGTTCAAAATTCCGTGAGTGAACTAAACAGTTTAAGGTGGGTGGCGTGCACTAGGTGCCAGAGGTGAGGTCAAGGTTATGGTCAGGGGTGGGGCCGGCGTTAGGGTCTGGTTTAATTACGGCCACGGGTAGGACGAGTGTTTGAGATCTGGTTGGGATGTTGGGTAGGGCTCGGATTTGCTTGGCAAATAGGGCTAGGGGAACGGCTCGTGTCTGGTTGACAGTGACCAGTGTGATGAGCATGGTCACACAACCCCGATGGACGACACGGCATGAAGGGAGGCCTTCATCCAGCAGTGGATAAAAAAAACTACTATGGATTGCTACATTGTAATTATGAAGCAATTGTTAGTGAGCGTCTATTCAGCGAGGCGTGATCAGCACCATGGACAGCGGCACGCACGCCAAAACGGCTGAAGTTTATCCAGTATTCGGTGATTCTACCAATGTCAGCCAAGACGCCTGTGTGCTATGGAGAAGAGCCATTGCCCGAAACGTCGCCTATCATATACATTTCCTTTTGAGGTCGTGTTATTGTCGAATGTGTTGTTATTTATTTTGTTATTTTGTTATTCGTGTTTGTACAATGCCGGCGTCCACAAATCCACTGTCCAAGGTCATTGTTTTCGCCAGAGTCTACCTAGCGGAGGCACAGGCTAAGTTCAGATTGTTGACGACTGTCACTCGTGCTGCTGCAGGATGAAGGCCTCTCCAAGCCATCACCGTCTCTCACGGACTTACGATGTCAACAATCCATCCAACACAAGCTGACTGCATTGCTCCATCTCTGGCGCGGGTGGATGTCCTCTTGAGTGCATTTCCCCCTCTAGCTGCCACTAAGTCATTGGTCTCGACCACGAGCCACTCAACTTTTCTTAGCAGTCACCATGATGAAATCAATGAGATACACACAGAGGCACGTGTAAATGAGAGAACACACGCAAGTTAGGCAATTGTGTTGCCTAATTTTTGTTCAAATTAGAGACATACAAACGCATCTAGCTATTGTCATTAACACTGCCTTCTAACTGCCCAATAAATAGTGGGTTAATGTTTTGGGTGAGCATGCAGAGAGATTCCCTAGCTCGTCATAGTGACAGCCAGACTTTCTAGACACCAATCAATATTTGTGGAGTTGAATCTAACTTTGCACCTTGCTGTTTGAAAGAATTACGCAAACACTTGCTGGCAGAGTGTGATCTACGCCTCTGTTAGGCGTGACTTGTGTTTGGCACGGCTTCTTTCTCTGTGCTTCCTCTGACCAGGGCCGGATTAAGATTGTGTAGGCCCCTTGGCTACAGGTACTGTGAGGCCCCCAGTAATATTTTCAAAAGGAAAACAAAGTTAAATAATATTCTTTGGTTCTATTCGGTAAAGTCACGTAGGTAGAAAATAAAACAACAAAAATCACGACGTTTCGGCCACAACACAAGTGGCCTTCTTCTGGTTAAGGAACAGAACTGTCGGGACGACAGCACTTCAATGACCGCTGCTAAGATTCGCAGGGCGCCTTGACAAAGGAGTTTACATATAAAAAATAGCTGTGTTAAAGTGTTGAAGCAGCAGGGTGTTACAGTCAGAAAATTAGCTGGGGGATTAGCATGTTTTATTTTTTACCTACGTGACTTTACCGAATAGAACCAAAGAGTATGGATCCTTGCAGTCGCGAAAGCTTCAAATCTAGAATTAAATAATATTCTTTGGTTCTTTCGGTAGAGTCACGTAGATATAGAAAAAGAAAAAGTGAATAAAAATATCATGTGTGCTGTGAAGAGCCATTGCCCGAAACGTCGCCTATCGCTTGTGTTGCGATCGAAACGTCATAATATTTTTTATTCACTTTATTTTTTATTATTATTTTTCTATCTACGTGACTTTACCGAAAGAACCAAAGAATATTAATTCCAGCAGTCACGAAAGTTTTAAATCTACATTTAAAGTTAAAGAAAAATAAAATTACATTTTTACAAGGCTAACAACAAATACAATTCAGCATTGAAGAATGAAATAACTTTTCACTTAATCTCTGGAGGCCCTCCTGGGCTGCAGCCCCTAAAGCCCCGCGCCTTAATCCGGCCCTGCCTCTGACAATCTCTTTCGACTGCAGGGGATGCTGCCACGGTGGTGTCATCATGGTTATCACACTGGACTTGCCATTCAAAATTCGCCGGTTCGGCTCCATCTCGGCGGGTGAAAGGATGGTGCAAGGTTCTTAAAACCCCCACCCTCCCGCCGCCGCTAACTACGGAGGAGCAGGACACATGTGTACATCACAGTTAGTCCATCGGCAGGTCAGGCACGGTGGAGTAAAACTTGGGTACTCCAACCTCTTCCAGGACGTCTGCCCAACGTGGAAGAGTGGGCCGCTATACCCTTAGAGGGAATGCCTTTCCACCAGCATTTGCATGAGCAAAAGCTGCACCTTTACCTTTCTTACCCATCTGTTGCCAATGATCCAGCCGAACTTCTTTCGTCGGGAGGGATCTCCGAGCTCTCTGCGTTTCAACCGCACAACGATGCAGTCACTCCCAGGACCCAGGTCACCCCTTGCCAGAGAGACTTTCGCCTCAGTGCATTCTCGGCCGACGAAATAAAATCAATCGATCGATACAACTGCCCTTTCTCCGCTCTAAAGAGGGTCCATTGCCAGAAATGTCAAGACTCCTGCATCTTGTCTCTTCAAAGCAATGCCCATGATGAAAGTGGCGAGGGATGTTTTCTTTTCTTTCTGTGCCTCCCGCCGAGAAAAAGTCCAGCGACCTTGGGAAGGACGAGGCGATAGGAGGGCCCACGGCCGGTGGCCAGGACCCGGCTTCAGAGTTGCAGGCGAATAATGGAGTGCGCCAGGGAAGACGCCCTTGCGGAGATGGAGCGATGCCCTTCGGCTCGCGTGCGAGATGGCGACGGCGGTAGCGGCTAGGGGGGAGGCTTTCATCCAGCAGTGGATTGGTGATGACTACTGCTGCTGCTGATGACGACGATAACGTACGTTCTATTAAATGCTGTGTTGATGACGGAAGCTGTCCGTTCGCTTGCACACAACAAACCTGCGTGCAGTCTGCTCGTATTCCTTTTAAATAAAACAACAAAGAACCACCACGCACGAACGTGGACCACGCCAATGCCTTCCGATTCGCGCGCGCCCTCGGATGCATTTGATGACGTCACAGTAACGGCGGTGCTCGTGCGGGGCGAGGAGCCCGTTCGGAAGCTGCGGGGGGACCCCCCCACCCGGGGACCCCCCCCCCCCCCCACTCCCAGGGCCCACGGATTGCAGCTCAGCTAGCGGGGCCGGGATGTCGATACGGGAATCCCTTTTAGCGCTGGGGTTGTTGTTGTTTTGTGATGTTGTGTCGTGTCCCCCACACTTTGGGCGGTTTTCAAATGGGGTAATTCCGTGGCAGCAAACACAACGGTGTCCTCGCGTGGCGCGGATGCTGGATCACGTTCATCACAGTTATTGTGCGCGCCTTCCTCTTGCTACAGACAGACGGACGTACACGCACGCACGCGCAGAGCCGATCCATTAAAGCATTCAAGCGTCGTTAAGAAGAAGAGAGAAAAAAAGCCACGAGGAACGATGCCTGGAAACGGTGGACGACTACAAGGCACCAAATCTAAAAGCATTTTAAATTAACATAGAGAAGAGAGCACCATTGATTCAGGCACGGGGTAGCGATAACAGATTAGAGAACACGGTGACAACACACGTATGAGCTCCCTTATCGCCGAAATGCGACAACATTGCCCTATCCACGGTACCCCCCTTCCCACCTCCCCCTCCGCTCCAAGATTTACGATCTCTCGGCTCGGTCGCCCGTAATCATCAAGTTGCGATGCGCGACTCGGGGGAGTCAACGTCGCATATTTACACGGAGCGGAGGCCCCCAGCGCTTCGCA